GTCACATTGCATCGTGTAAAGTCACATCGCATCGGAGCGTGGCAACAGCACCTACTGGAGTGGGTATAATTCCTGTACGAGAAGGAAAATGCAGATAATCCTAAACAAGGTCAATGTCGTCAATCAACTGGAAAATTTATCACGTGATCAATGGTGGCGGGAGGGTTCGATACGACCTTAGGCTATAATTAAATAGAGCAACTAAATTGCTACAGAGAACAGTTTTATGTAAGTTATCCTCCCCTGTGAGCTCCTGATCACCGTTGATATTCCTGCATTTGAATGTCATTTGGTGGTTTTTGTGGCATCCAAAATCTTTCACACCTATGTTAGTGTCCCAAAACCTCTGGCGCTTGGGACAACCACCCCGTCTTCTCCCCCCCCCCAACTGATTAGATGTCTGCCATAGTACCACAAGGTAAGACCTCGACTATGATATTTAATGTTTTGGGCGTCGAGGTCTTACTGCCAAAATACCGGCGCTTTGTAGCCTGTTCCGATGTTGATTAACATTGGAATGATGAGTCAAATTTTCCGGAATATCTCACACACGTGGAAATCCATATCGACACTTTTCTACAAATAAAAGTTATGATCTCTTAGTCAGACTGTACTTACTGAGTTGTCGTTGTTGTTGTTGTTGTTGTTGTTGTAAGTTCTAATGCCATTTTTCAGTACAATATAGGTTATACATGGCGGCCAGTATAAATGGTGATGGAAGAACCCGAGAAAACCCCTGAAAGAACCACCCACCTACCAGAAACTACTGGCAAACTTTCTCACATACCCACATTGGCCGAATCCGACACGCGAACCCACTCAGACAGACGTGAGATGGCAGTGATCTGTAACGGTGAGCGCTTTAGAAAGTTTAGACCACTAGGTCACTCAGGACCCCTACTCAGATGTCTTTTTGGTAATAAAGTAAAATTCCCACACTAGCAAATGGATATGTTTTGAAGTTCCGTTGGCCTACATTTTAGTTTGCTGGAATGCGATGGAACCCGGGATTACCGAAATCGGTTAAAAAGATGATAAGAATCTTGAACGAAACGAGGCTCTCTAAATATTTTCTTGAATATTAATATATTTTTTATTCGTTTCGTTAAAGTATTCTTCAACTTAACCCGTTTTCGGCATTTCCGGCTTCCATCGTACTCCAGCCAACTGAAGAGGCAGGGTACAGTTTGTATTTTGGCCCCTGGCAAATTTCTTAACTTAAGGCTATGGTGTGACTTTTTCAGCAATTATTTTGTCTACTAATTAAATATATGGATATATTTGTGAGCTAGGTGTTTCGGGCTTGTGTTGTTCTTGAAATTGATGTCAGGCATGTACACCTTCCATAGTTACTCTGCAATATGTTGATAGTGAAATACCAATAGTTGTCTACGAAGAAGAGCTAGACTCTCGTAACAGTAAACATGTGGGTTTGGGACAAAGAGCATATCTCAAAAACGGCTTGAATGACAACTATTTTCAACTGCATCAGCCTGTTTAGTACACACTGTTTGGCAGAATTGTAATCTAGGAAAAGGGCTTGTGTTTGCACTGTGAGTACCACATGGTGTCAAAACTTACCTTCGGACATGAAAATTGCAGGTATAAATTTGGGGTTTGGGTGCATAAACATCTTCTGCTATGAACTGCCACTGACTTCTCTGGTCAAGTGGATAATATTGTTATGCTTTGTTTTAATATAGGTACCTCAAAAAATGAACATTCTTGACCTCACTTGTGTATTTGATTTTTTATGATTTTTTTGTACTAGGTCACTGATTGCGGCATTAAATTTGTACATAAATACTGGCCCCTGCCCCCTGAAATGTAGACCAACGAAGCATGAAAACAGGTCCATTTGCTTGTGTGAGAATTTAAATTAATTACATAGACAAAATGATATCAAAATCAATAAAGTCGGACTAAAACATGATTATAATTTGTAGCAAAGCGTCGTTATTGGCTACCAAGTGTGCGAGATATTCCTGAAAATTAGACCTTCGTTACGATGTTAGTCTACATCAAAGTACGCTAATACAAGCTGTTATTCAGGCAGTAAGACGCCAGGTCGAGATCTTACAAAGTAGGGCTAATGTCTTCCGTTACATCATAAATATAAGTTCTACATATAAACACATTGTAGCTAAGTTCAATTTTGATTGATGCATTTAAACGTTGACTTTGTTATACACTTTGATTTGTGACCTTGGGGTATGGGTTCTGTTTCCTCCCAACAATTTATGAAAGACTTAATGGACTGAAATCAAATTAAATAAAGTATATTGAGGAAACATAGGGCCAGTTCACTTTAATCAATTTATATATAAATTTGACCGAGTAATGAATCTTTCTTGACTTAGTAGTTTAGCGTTCACTCATTAATGTTGCCTCCGATCGTTACTTTTAAAAACCTAGAATTAAGAGTTTATATTGAAAAGATTTTCGTCTTTTAATTGTCACTAGTTTCATAACCTGAACATTATGACATTAAATTCTTTAATTTGCAAACTTTCTATCTTTCCTTGAATTTTCTTTTCTGAAACTCATTTTAAAAACAATTTGCATCAATGCTCGAATAAGTTATAAGTTCGTGTTCTGGTGGTGCTAGACGTTTATCAAGAAAGCAGTTTTATTCGAAGTTTACACCCACTGTCAAACCGACTATTTACAGTCTGGACAGTCGGAATATTTTTTATTTCCTTCTTTTTACAATTCTAAATCTCCAGCTTGTTTTAACTGAAGTTCGACCTATTTAGCTGAGGACAGAAAAGTGAAAAAGAACATTAAAATACATGTGCATGTTATCTTTCACCATCACATCTTATCCCGTGTACTTCATTTCTAATGTCGTATTGGAGGGCAAGGTCATCTAGGACGGTTGCGGAGACTGGGAGAAAGCCAAAACACGTTCTGCTTCACGTACCTCGAATCGTATCAGATGCAAAAATATTTTCAGTTTTGTGTGTAGTTCTACTTTGATTTTCATATTCGTTTGCCTATAAATCAAAATCAACAGGTATATTTGCATATTTGATCACATTTTTATTAAAATATATTTCGTTGGGAGAGATATTGACCTATGAAAAGGTATATGTTGAAACAATAATCCTTTGGATTGAAAATACAAGTAATACTTACATTCAGCCTTAATATACATTAAAGAGACACGCACGACGATAATCCCCCATAGTGCTCTCTCTCTCTCTCTCTCTCTCTCTCTCTCTCTCTCTCTCTCTCTCTCTCTCTCTCTCTCTCTCTCTCTCTCTCTCTCTCTCTCTCTCTCCTTTTTAAAATACTTATGTGTCATTTATACGTTCATATTTTTTAGAACATCGAATAACTCTAGAATTTAGTATTTTAGATGTTATTTAAACTTGTTACAACTATCGAGCATTTCATGGCTAATATTCACACGTTACATTTAGTCTAAACTACTATTTTTAAAACATATCTAGCCGTCTTAAACAGATCCCGTAGCCTTCATATCTATATCTGGTAGTGTCAATTACAATCTAAAGGAGATTTTTTGACTACATATGTGTAATTCAATTCCTAGGCAAACCGTTAGATCTGAAAAGCATGACACAAAGGTCAACATGAGTCACTGGCTTCATCTGCTGATTTATTTTCATGACCTTACCCTTGCTTTTTCTTAACCAATCTGGGTCAAAATGCACTTTATTCAGATGATAATGTGATTAGTATTAGCCAATCTAAAACATGACCCAAATGAAAATCCACGTCGGAGCTCCCAAGTGAAAATGGAAACATTGCTTTAGATATTGTTTCCAGATCTTTTTTAATCGCTCTTAGAGACCACACCAAACAAATGTATGCGCCATCGAACAAAGTTCTAAGAGCACAACCAATTATATTCAACATAATTATTGCCAGTAGTAGCTGCAGTAAAAGGTGTCGTGTACGCGTGATATTTGTATTAGTAGTAGTAGTAGTAGTAGTAGTAACAATAGTAGTAGTAGTGGTGGTGGTCTTAGAATATAACATATGCTGTATGCGCCTACTCGTATGTCGTCAGAGGTCACTATTGAAAGCAAATGTAGGCAAAAGGTTTTGCAACGGTATGCATCCAGAGATGATTGATATTCCCATTGAGAAAGTCTTTGACTTATTCAAAGGTGCTTGTCAATCATCTGATTTTGCATGATAAGGATTTTGCCCCTTTTTTTCCTTGAGTGTTGTTTTCTATGCCTTTTACGGATATCCAAAGTTACTTGCACTATAAAGTCATGATTGAGCTGATGTGCCGAAAAATACCATTATTATTATTATTATTATTATTATTATTATTATTATTATTATTATTATTATTATTATTATTATTGTTGTTGTTGTTGTTGTTGTTGTTTTGTTGTTGTTGTTGTTGTAGCTGTTATCTTTTCAGATGGAAGAAGTCAAACAGTAGAGACATCATCACTCTTTCTTTCATACACAAATATTAATATTGGCTTTAAGTGTCAATATTGGCATAAGGGTAGTCACACACAAAAAGCCAGCTGATACGCCTAGAAGTAGAAACAGAGTTTTCCCTGACCAGGTTTCATTCAGAAACTTGAGTGCCTTTTTTAAAAGCATAATTGCACATCAATTACATTGACCAAGCTCCCGCAGTCAGATTTGGGTAGTTTTACTTTTTGGGTTGTTTGTTTAAATATAATTGCAGCCTTACGATACATATCGCAGTTGTATTTGCTTTTTTAAAGACTTTCATAAGTGTAGAATATATCACAGAAGTGTGTGTGTGTGTGTGTGTGTGTGTGTGTGTGATTTTTAACGAAACTTTTACAATTATTCAGTCATATCGCTACAATGTCTGCAGTGTGGCAGTTTGTCGTGATGTCTAGCACGGGGGCATTGTGCTGCAAACATGTAACATGGTGTCCAACCTAGTCACATTATCATGACGCCAGGCAGACCAGTAATAACACTAGCTTCTTAATCTGAGCACCTGAGGAGTCAGCAGCTAGTACCAATTTTTCAATTGGTATGACTCGGCCGGAATTCGAACCCGCGAACTCTCGCATGCGAGGCGGACGCTCTAACCACTAGGCCACAGTAGCGGTATTTCACAAAAGTTAGATGTATTTCGCAAATAAGTTAGATGTAGTCGCAAATATGACACACGTACCTAACTCATTCACGCCTCTTCAATTGTTCATCACGATCAGATTACAAACCTTGCAGTGTCACGTGACAGTAAAACATATCTATAGCGTTTGTCGATTTCTATCCTGTGAGACAGTAGTATGTTATATGAACACTGTTAAGATGATTTTCGATGATATATTAACAGAAAATTTTGGAATTTGTAAAATCACGTGGCTCTGAGGGCAACGTTAAACCTGCGCAATGGCCAAAATACCGAATCACACGACGCTCTGAGGGCAACGTCAAACCTATGCAATGACCAAGGTACAATATCACCAGAACATGAAAAAGCACAGGAGCCCACAAATTATTGTTTGATACTATAGATTAAGCAGGGGACCCATCTGTAAACTTTAAATAGGGGCCCGCATAGGGGCACATCAGTAAACTTTGCATAGGGGCCCAAATACCATAGTTACGCCACTAAACCTATGTTTAAAGCTTTGCAAACCAGGAACTGATGCATCAGATATTTTGCTTAATTGTTCTGGAACTTAAAAGAGATTCAGTTACCACTTAAAGAACTAATCTGACAACATTACTATGTTTAAACAAGGATGATGCAAAAAAGATTTCTTACTTAGTGTGTCTTTTGTTTATGTTGTTTGCATGCAATTCATAGAAACATCGACCAATCACTATTTGCACGTTATAGATTTATTATACCAAAGTGGATTCTATTATTTTTGGGTTAATCAAGGGATGGATAATTTATTTATGAGTTATTGATGAGTACTTTCTAACAAAGATTGGCAGCTACTTTTATTTCAGATTGAATGGAGAGGTTAAGGTTTTCTTTAGAAGCTTCCGTTTACGCAAATGGTGCATCACTTTACTCCGGATCGGTTGCAATTAGCGGCACATTTCCTCAGCATGATATATCTAACAAAGATTTCAACGCGCATTTAGAACGAAAACAAATAAAGAAACAATTTATCCTAAAATATATCTTTGATAATGTTCACGTTTTAAAATACATAAGTGGTTTAGTTGCGAGTAGATTGGGGGGGGGGGATTCTGTTAGGTGTGAATGACTACAAACCAAATGAAGACAGGCGATATTAATATGCAACACACTTATGCGATATTAATATGCAATACACTAAATTTTGATGATTATCATTTTTCTGAAGGTTGTCACTCATACAAAGATTTAAGAATTAATTTGAGAATTATTTATATAGGTAAGTATTTCTTAAAAAATATCGGATATGCTGACTTGACCGAACTTGTATATTCAGAAATAAGTATTCTTTTTTTATATTTCAATAACTATTGATGTTGATGATCATGATTATGTTGTCAATGATTATCATCCTTTATATTCTTATTTTTATTAAATGTCAATCAAAATATTTTATTTGTAAATAATTCCAACTGTTATGAATTGGCTGAGTTGTCTGCAATGTGGTTGCGTACAAACAGACACATGATACTGTCCTCGAACTTTATTTACGTTTTGAGTGATTAGGTAAAGTTACACATCGATAAATACATCATTAATCATATAATATTTAATATTATCAAACAGGTCTGTTTCAGTTCTTGATCCAATTAAAATCTTAATCTCCATTATTCAGTTTGACACACAATTATTATTATTATTATTATTATTATTATTATTATTATTATTATTATTATTATTATTATTATTATTATTATTATTATTATTATTATTAACCCATTTGATTTTTATTAAATTATATATTTTGCAGATATAATATATATCTTATCAATAGAGTTAATTCTGAAATATGAAATATTTGGTTAAAAAAGTCTTATATATTATATAAGACATGTTATAAATCTTGCAAGACACACCATATGTTATGAAATGACTCCCTAATGTCATATGCATTTTTAAAGATATATTGTAACGGAAATTTATAGTTTTAAGATGTCTAAAAAATTTGATAAGATGTCTTAAAAATGAATAAGATATTGTGTATATTGCAAAAATAAGGTATATTACAAAGCTAATGCGGTATCCTATTAATTTTACAAAATATCCTATATTTTTTGGCAGATATTTGGCTTTGAGCGGACACAAAATAACTTAGCTTACCATATAATGGTGATGAAAGTAACGTAAGGAATATCAAATTACGCGTATGGATTTTAAATAACCTTAAAGTTTGGAATTTGTAGTTCTAACATCAACTGAGTATATAAAACCTTGAAAGTAACCTTTCAGCACCTCTTTATCTTTCATCAGCTATATGTTTTTAAATTAACAAATTTAAAACATAAAGCCTAAAATGATTTTTTTTAAAAAAAAAATCGCAATTTTGTGACTTTTAAGGTTACTACTGAGTGTAAAGAAGTTGCCTGGATTGTAACTCTACGGACCGTTTCTTTTTTTATTCTCCTTGGTAAATATTTTATAAACAAATTAAATCCTTCAGGTTTCCTTTTAAACGGCCATTTCGTATAATTGGTTGCACTCTAGAAACTGGAACATAATCTGCGCAAAGAAATGCTAATAGTGCTGGAAGGAAAGCTTAACAGACACGTCAGACGACCCATGTCCCACGTTCACACGTGTCGGCCTGGGAATTATAACAAGCTAAATAGACCATGTTGCGGATTCATCCATCATTTTGTGTCAGGACTTTGGTTTTGTTTGAGGCAGATCGATCCGCTAAGCGACAAAAGAGCAGATATTAAAGAACTGTTTTGTTCAACTTGACTTTCAGGTGACGTACGAGGTGTTATAGACAATTATAAGTTATTTTTCGATGAGGAACTTTTATCAACATATGGAATATATTGATTTATCAAAGAAACGGGACTTTTTTGACTGTAATGAACCTATTATAAGAACTGAAGTTATAGGTGTTGATATTTTGAGTTCTGTGCGTTAAGCACTGTCAATGTTGCACCGATTAGACCTTATAAATTCCGGCATTGGTAAATGAAAACAACGTCAGTGGAAATGAAGACATTTAAGAAGTTGAAAGACAAATCTGAAGACGACTCTGATTCTGAGGAACACAATAACGGCGATGACGATGATGATGAAGAGCATAAGGGAGGAGGAAAAACTGGAGATTATGATGATGGTGAGTTAGCTGACCATTCAAGTAGGAAACGTATCACTTCCTTTGAGGTATTCCAACCCACACACGATGTTTCAGTGCCACTGGACACGTTGGCCCACCCAAAGCCGTTTATCAAGTCTTCGGCAAACGAGTTACCGCGCACTAGTCGCTGGGGCGCTCAGCGAAATTCAGGACATAAGACGGAACGAAAGCCTCAGCTTCCAAACGTGGTCCCTCCGATTTCATTTCACCCAAACAAGCCATTAACTTTAAATATCATTAATACTACAAAAAGCAGTAATAATAGCAAGATACATACAAGTAACAATGACAATCAACAAACAATTTCCAACCCAACTATTCGGACTTCATATCCTGCTGTTACTGGTTCTATCGGAGGTTTAGGTGGTACTGCAAATGTAAATTTTAGCAATGAAGCAACAAATAGTGCGTCCTTGGAGGCTGATGATGGACAGCTACATGTAGGTAATCACTCGAACTTCAAAGAAAATGTTACGTCAGATTTCAGTAATCACGGCAACCCACATGATGCGAAAAATTTGCAAAGCCTTTCTTTTTCTGATGTAACTAGAGCAACAGAAATGATCCCGAACAAAGAAAACACCACTGCTCCAATGACTGACGACAGCGAAATATCGTTTACCGGTGTTACAATTTTTCAGTCATTTGTCTCTTCAACTTTAGAAATAGTTGCTGGACAAAGTCACATTTCAAGGGAACATAATTTGGACTCCAACTCCTTAGCTACGACAAGAAGTTTTCATCCCGAGACAGAAGGAATGATACCAAAAGCCTTTGAAAAATCCAATGCTACTTTAAGTATCATAGGGTCATTGTCAGGTGGTGCTACCAATCATGCACATGCCAAAACTACTAGAACGTTTCAAGAAACTAACCCAGACGTTCCTGACAATTTAGTATCTGCAAGGTTTCACGTGCAAAAGAAATACAAAGATTTGGACCAGCAAATGGCTTTCGATCTGGACAAAGAACTACCTTCGGCGGAGACATTCTGCCGTGGTAAGTATTAAAATCCATTTTATATAAACAAAACGAAAACTGTACATATCATATGCTTGGTAGCGTTAGGGTCAGTGTTACTAGATACAAAATAAGGTACTATGAGCTAGCACAAAATGTTGATGTCCGATAATTGTTTATAATCCAGCACAAAAAATTTCGGTTGTTCGGATCTCTGTGACCCGGATTATCGATTTCTTCCAAACATACGTACGTTTCCAGACGTACTTATAAATAAAACTTGTACTCTTCAAACATTTGTTCATTAGAGATGATCAGATAAACGTTCTCTAACTGTAATTTTATGCTGAATGGAGAAGCAAAAATGGCAGCGTTTCTTGGTTTGGGGGAGAAATTAAATAGTTCATAATGTGCTCAATCATCAATATTATCAACTTTTAAAAGTACTCAACAATATGAAAGACCATTGTCTTCAAAATTCAGTATTATTCGGGTCATTTAATTTGTTTATAAAATATTTACCAAGAATATACACGTCCATTTGCTTATAATAACGGTATTGGAATTTGAAGTTTAATAAACGTAGGTAAACATGGTTATATAAACAGTTTTGGCAAGTCTTATCACATTAGATAGCTATCTAACAGATTGGTTTAGCGGACGAGCTCAATTGATTTCGTTCACATCGTCTCATACCGTTCACATCGTCTCATACCGTTCACATCGTCTTCAGACTTTAATAGATTGAAGTAGTTACTATTGATTCCTTTTTCACGAAATTTTAAAGGATTTTTTTTACTATCGAGCATGCTGCTATATCAATATCTTGAAATATTTATAAATCGATTATACATATTATAAATGATATT